TGCACACTCACTCACAGCCCTGCACACCCACACCCCTGCACACTCACACCCCTGCACACTCACACCCCTGCACACTCACACCACTACACACACCCCTGCACACTCACACAGACCCCTGCACACTCACACCCCTGCACACTCACTCACACCCCTACACACACCTGCACACCCACACCCCTGCACACCCACAACCCTACACACTCATACCACTACACACACCTGCACACTCACACCCCTGCACACCCACACCCCTGCACACTCACTCCTGCACAGGCCACTGGCACAGTCGCTCCTGCAAGCTGCAGGTCTCTCCGGCTGGCCTTGGACTTGCAGTGCTGGAGTCAGCAGCATCCTCTTTTCTCCTGAGAGGGGCGGGCTGACTTTTATCCTCCTCCATGTGCTAGAGGCAGCTCCACGAACACTGTCTGCCCTGAGTGGAGGCCCCCAAAGACTGAAAGAACTCAAGAACTCCTGTCATCAGCAGGAACATAATTTGAACCCAAGTTCACCTGGCTCTGGAATTCCTGTCATTTGCTTTGGATCCAAGAGCCCCTGCCTCCTAACAAAGGAGGAATCCACCCAGGAAATGCCAGGACGGGAGCCTCCCAGGACAGACAGTGGTGCCTGACCCAGCAGCACCAGCACCAGCACACCCAGCAGGGGTGGCGGGGAGGCCTAAACCCCACCTGCAGCATGTTGCTCCACAGGGTGGGACTGGGCACAGCTGCCTTGCTGACACCCTGGCATCCTTGCCTCCTCCGAGAGCCCCCAAGTCTGCCCCTCTCAGCGCCTCCAGAGACAGCCCTGCAGAGGGGTTTCCTCGGGCCCTGGACAAAGAAACAGGGAGTTCTGGGTCACGGGTACCCGGGGCAGGTCTCAGGCAGATGCTGGGAACCAGAGAGAGGGGTCACTGTGAGGCCTCAGTTTACCCACCCACAAGGTGCCAAGTCCGACTGGATGACCCTCCCACCCCAGTGATCTCCACCCTTTCTCAAGCATGTCAGCTCCACCCCGCCTTCCTGGTGTGAGCACAGTGCCACTTTTTTTCTCAACAAATGAGAAAGGAGGAAGATGCCCCCAGGGCCCTGTGCCCTGAGGATGCCTGTGTGAAGGGGTCTGCATTGTCACCAGTGTCACTCACAGCATGGACTCACACCCACACCCCTGCACACTGCCTTGATGGAGCTTACTCCATCACTGCAGACAGCCGGGGAGCTCCCTCACAGAAAGCCTGACCCCGCAGGCAGCAGAGGTGCTGGCCGGGAGTGACTGCTCAGATGCTCAGGGCCGGCAGAGGGGACGCATGCCTGGAGGAGCATCTCCTAGAAGCTGGACACCAGGACACCCTTCTTGAAGCCTCACGCCCCCAAGGCTGCAGCTCAGGGTCCTCTCTCTGAGCCCAGGGTCCCACCCCTGGGTGGCAGCCCCAGCTCTGAGGGAGGAGGGCACCCACCAGGCCCTCCATCTCCTGGGGGTCAGCCCAGCCCAGCGGCTCTGTAGGACTCTGCACCCCCACTTCGTGGCCAGGACTTTCCGGGTGTATCCTGAGAACTGAGGACTCCACATCAGGGACTAGACAAGACCAGGGCCCGGGACCTGGGGGCTGGGGTGGGCATGTCACCAGGATGGGCTGTGGCGTCACTCAGGGCTTCATCCCAATAGCCAGGGACCTCGGTGTGGGCCAGTGTGGGGAGTAGAGGCGGGGCTGTGCCTGGGCTTGTACACCAGACTTCCCAGCCTCTGTGCTGCTGGGAGGCCACGGCCACTGCCCCGGGCAGCCATGTTCTGGGGGCCACAGGGCCTCAGGGGTGAGGGGGCCAGAGCAAAGCCAGGGCCCTCAGCACACAAGCAGAGTCCTCAGCCCCATGGCCCAGCAGACCCCGAGGAACCAGCAAGGTCTGGGACACTGGCTGCACTTCGGGGCCTCCTCCACCAAGACCTCAGTGCCAGCTGCAAGGAGCACTGCACCCCCTACCAGCCAGCCACAGTCACCACCTAAGAGCAGAGGGCACCAGCCAGCCACAGTCACCACCTAACAGCAGAGGGCACCCACCAGCCACAGTCACCACCTAACAGCAGAGGACACCTGCCAGCCACAGTCACCACATAAGAGCAGGGGGGCCCACCAGCATCCTGCACCTGGTCAGGACCCCAAGTCCCCACATGGGAGGGTATCACGAACCTGTCACCGTGCCATCCCGGGACTCCAGGGACTGGGGGCAGAAAAGAGCATCTGAGTAGGTGGACAGGGCAGCAGCCACCTGCAGGCATCTCCGCTCGGGTATTTTTGGCTGCCACGGCCTCCCCAGTCCCGCCTACAACCCCACCCCACCCCACCCCACCTTCGGCACCCCCCAGGCCCACCCCACTCAGCCCTCAGCCAAACCCCAGCTCGGCCCCTTCTCCAACCCAAAACCCCTCAGCCACACCCAGCCATGCCCTCAGCCACACGGTTCAGCCACACATCCTTCAGCACCACCCCAGCCATGCCCTCAGCCATGCCACCCCTCAGCCACACCCTCAGCCAAACCCCTCAGCCACACTCCTCAGCCACACCCTCAGCCACACCCTCAGCCACACCCTCAGCCACA